TAGTGATACTGCCTCGGAAACCCAAGGAGGGGTCGCTATGAGTCGGGGCCGACTCGACGGCACATAACAACAACAACAACAACAGGTTTCATTTGAACAATTTTTTTTTGTTACCAAACCCACTGTTCTTTTCCTCTTTTTGCCCTTATTCTCTCTACTTTTCAATACTTCCCTTTCGCAAAACTTTTTTTTTCTTCTACTCCAGTTAAAAAATCTGCTTTGCTCTCTGTATAAAACTAATACTAGTTCATTACAGAAAAACAGAAATACAACAGAAAAATAAACAAAAATCAAGGAAAATTCACTTATAATCCTATGCAACTACTGTTAGTACCTTAGTACATATCCTCTCAAACTTTGTACACACATAGACCACCATCCTTGGTACCACACACATACACCCATGTTAAACAGTGCAACCACACCACCCATATTCTTTGTAATTTACTCTTATAAAACTGATTTCACAAGTAAAACATTTGGTGATACATCTAGAGAGAGATACTGTTAATACTTTGGTATATTTCCTCCTGTATTTTTCTATGCATATGTTTACATAGTTGATGTTATATAATTGTTATAAGTTTGAAAACTTTTATCAAAGTATTTTCCTAAATACTTGGTATTTAATATTCTCTTAGATCCCCTCTCATCCTTCGGTTTTGCCCTTTCCTCTGCATGTACTGAATACTGCTGTGAAAGACAAGGATTAGGAAGAAGTATGAAATAGTTCCCTAAAGAATAGGTAGTAACAAACAGCCTGAGAAAATTTAATTTCATACTCCCTTCCCTCCCCGCTGCTTGGTAAAAAGACACAGTCCATGAAATTAGAGCTTTAATTTAAGAGATATCCAAAGAGTGAATTTGATTTAATGTGTCCAGAGTTATCCTTCAAAGGATTGAAATTAGCTTTGCATCATAAAGGATGATTCTAGACCAGCAGGCACTTAGAGCCACAGACTTGGTGATCTTCAGCCAAACTCATCTTTACAAAGCACTTCACTGATCTTAATAGTATTTATATTAGTAGCTATTTTATTGCTTAAACATTAATGCTGTTTTCATATTCACAAGTCTTATAAGGCAAGATAAAGTAATATTATCCCTTTTATCAGAGGAAGAAATGGGGTCCAGAAATTTGCTGAAGGGCACATAGCTGAAAAGCGGGATTCAAGTCCAGGGCCTTGAGCCAGAGTCAAGGTTCAGAACCCTGTCATCATCAAAGTGGCAGGGGGTGTTTTCTCAGACAGACTGACTATAGTTCCTGTGGTGGCCAGTCAGTCACCTTCTCCTGTATTGGGGAGGCTGTTTTCCAGAATAGAGAGAAATAATGCCGCTGGCTGTTGCCACTACTGCATGTCTTCACGGGGCAGGCTACTCTGACCACTATGGCTGTTGCCACTACTGCCTGTTTCCACGGGGCAGGCTGCTCTGACCTATACTTGACCCTCTTCTTGCCCCAAATAAGGAACAGCATATTCTTCAGAGAGAAAGAACTGGAGTAAAATGTGACAGAGTCATTTGATCAGAGGGCATATCACAAATTCACACAACGCAATCAGAAAGTCGGCAGGGTCATCAGTTTTCTATGGTTTATTCAAAACTGACCTGATGCTGCAAGGGGTACAAAGAGGTCCACATGACCCCCCTCTTCTTCAGTGGCCACACAGCTTCCTAATTTCTCCCAGAAGTCTCTAACTTCAGGCTGCAGCAAATTTTTAATACCAATTTTATAGCCTGAGGAAAAAAGTTAAAATGTCATATTAATTTGTAACATTATTATGAACAGAAACTCTTAGCAGTTAGGAAAAATTCAACCATAAATTTTAGAAGCTAACATCTGCTTATCACTGTGGTATGAAGACCACTGGGGCACCCTTCTTCAGTGCTGCACACAGTAGGCCTACAGAGGTACCACTGGACACCACAGCAGCCATAATCTTCACATTCTGGGTTAACAGGACATTTAGAGTCCTTGTGTTTCTGAAGAGAAGAGTCACATGATTCAGCCAAGATGGTGACGTCCTGGGGACTACTGACAAGAAAGCTGAAGAAAGGAAGCTTTTGCATTGCCTCCCAGGCAATTTTCTTTCTCACTTTAGAAACATGTTTCTAATTGACATTCTTCAGGAAATAAGCTTTTTCAATAGCCATTTGTCACTTCTATTTATGGTCTAAATCTAAGAAAAGAAAATGAATCCTTTTTATCAGACCACCAACCATAATCATTAGAGTAGCAAAGTTGTAAGTATAAAAATGTCCAGTAAAGGCAATTTGGATGGACTATTATGAAGGTTGGGCAATCTACTTCCGTAGCGACACTGCCTCAGAAACCCAAGGAGGGGTCGCTATGAGTCGGGGCCGACTCGACGGCACAGAACAACAACAACAACAAATTATGTTGCTAGTTCACAGTCAGGAAATGGGAAATGGGAAAAGGGAATGTTTTCTAAGAATTACACTACACACACATAAACTGACCAGGAAAGCAGGGGATGGGGCAGAAGAGGAAAATTACTGAAGTTTAAACACATGAAGAGAATCTGAATTGGGGGATATCCACAAAGTCCACAACCACAGTTTTTATTGGTCAGAAATCTGAATAAGAGCAGTGTTTTAGATAAAACGTGTAAGAGGTTTTATACTACTTGTAAGGAATGTAGGACAAAATATTTCATTTGTTTCTTTGTAAGTCCCCTGTAAATTCAGGAAAATGAGAGAGCTGGCATCATAACGCCAAATTTGTCTTTTATACATGGGTTGCGTTATCTTTCCTTTGGGTGACAATGGCATTACAGCCAACACTGTGCAGAGGTGTGAGTTACTAGTCTCAGCAGGTTTAGGGTGAATCGTCAGACAAGTCCTGGGGTTCTGCAACCAAGTTCCAAAGTAGAAAAGTTTCCCACAGGGTCAGTCAAAAAACAAGTCGTTTGACACAGTAAGACTCTCAGTGATGGGAAACATCACTGAAACGTCCTTCCTCTCACTGCCTCGGACTTGAGTGTGCTCACTCGGCTCAGTTACATGCGACTGCACCCATATCCAAGTGAGTTCTGGTGGCTCTGCATTCTTAGGACACAGTGATGAAATTAAAACAATGGCTGGTACACAAATCCTGACGTTTCCCTCCTTCCTGTTCACAGGTCTCTACACGTAATGGAAGGACTACTTTGAGTGACAGGGTAAAAGATTTCATTTTTGTTGTTTTTCAGGCAAAGGCTTTTAGAAAAATACCACAATTACACAGAAGGAAACGAGTTTTCTGAGGAACTAAGTTGTTACTATTGCTTTGAAAACCCAACGACAACAATAAGAAAAAGGTGAAGTTTGAAAACTTTCCCCATCTGCAGAATGAAAGGTCTGAGATCAGGAACCTATAAGAAGCTCTTCCATTAGATAAGAGGTGAACTACAGTAAAAACATGCAATTGATGTCTCTCCACCAATTAAAGAGTTAAACCAAAGAAAGCAAACCTATCACCAAGGTAGTTCCAACTCGCGGCAGCCCCAAGTGTTCCCCAGTAGAACTGCTTCATTGTGTTTTCTTGGCTATAATCTCTGCAGGAGCAGACTGCCAGGCCTTTCTTTCACAGTGTCACTGTGTGGACTCGAACTGCTAACCTTTGTATTAGTACTCAAGTGCAAACTATCTGCACCCCAGAGAAGCACTGTCATGTAATTAACTATACATTTAAATCCCAAACAAAATTTATCTGCACTTTACTTTTTTGGGATATATACATATAAAATTGAATGTGAAACATAACTTGCTCTAGGCACCAGGTAAACTAAACAAGGAAAGCCAATAGTAAACTAAAACTCAACCAAAAGCAGTTAGTTTTGCTAATAATTTAACTTGCTGTTCTAAGAATGCTAAGTTCCAGCCACAGAGACAAATTGACAGGTAACTCGGGGACTCACTCTGCCATTTTATGAATTCCTTGACAGTTGGATCAATGACTATCTTATCCCCAGTGTTCCCTCATCCTACAAGGATGGAAGAGTTTTTGTCAATAAAATTAAAAACCAGTCTATTTTAAAGTGATGGAAAGTAAAGAGATCACTTTGAGGACTGAGATGCACCTGATCCAAGCCACTGTATTTTCAGTTACCCCATATGCATGAGAAAGCTGGGCAATGAAGGAGGAAAACTAAATAAGACGTGATACTTTGAATTACGAAGAATACTGAATATAGCATGGACTACCAGAAGAACAAACAAATCTGTCTTGGAAGAAATACAGCCAGAATGCTACTTAGACAGAAGAGTAGTGAGACTGCATCTCATGTACTCTGGACATGTTATCAAGATAGCCCAGTCCCTGGAGAAGGACACCATGCTTGTAAAGTAGTTCAGTGAAAAAGAAGGAAGATCCTTAAGGAGATAGGTTGACACAATGACACAACAAAGTGTTCAAATATAGCAACAATTTTGAGGATGGCACAGGACCAGGCAGTGTTTTGTTGTGTTGTACAGAGTTGCAATGTGTCAGAACTAACTTGATGGCACCTAACAACAACAGCAAATTGTAGGCATAAACAAGGAAGGAGACAAGTTATATTATGAGGAAGAATAGAAAATAAAAGTTAATTTTAAATATTTCTCATCTCAAAATAAAGAAAACCACTGAGCAGAGCAAGTTAATGACATCAACCAAGCCTTTTCTTTGGATGAGTCAAGTAGGAATATTATGTATGTTTACAGTGCCACCAATTTATAGATTTTTGGCATTTGCTGCTGCTAAAATTGCTTCCCTTTCTTCAAAAAGACAACATCAACATTCCTTATCAAATTGGAGCTTGACAAACACTACATGAGGGCAAAGTTGCTGGGTTGTTCTTTACCAATCCCCAGTCCTACCTTGCAGTAAGTTGATTTCCCTGCTATCCCCATCGCTAAAGATTCCCATACTCTGTGCCTTCCGCCCATCCAGAGCTTTTTCTATGAGAGAAAGCAGGTTCTCCAAAGTTATGCCACAATGTTCATAGACCACAGAAATGACATCAGCCTTAACACTGTCCACAACCATCTAAAAATGAAAACAAAATTGTTAGGATATTTATTAATGAAAGAAATATAACAGATACGTAATATGCTGTGATTTTTAAGGACTGCGTTGCTATTTTCAGAAATTATGGGAGGATGATAATCTACCTCCTTCAATGAATTCTTTTAAAATTCTTTTATTTCCTAATTGTAAAAGGAGAGAAACAAATACCCTTGTAGCTCCATCACAGAGAGATAAATAATATTAACACTCCAGTTTATTTTTTCTCAGCCTTGTTTTCTTTGCATAGAACCATGCACAGAGACATATAAAAATAACTAAATTTAGATCATACAATTTTGTAATGGGTTTAAGTAGATTTTAAAGTTTTCCCTTTTTTTTGAATTGTGAATATTTGAGTTATCCAACACTGATTGATAAATATTTTCCATTTAAATAAATATTAACACCACTGTTCTTTGAATTCAACAACCAAATAAACTTACATTGTAGCAAAGTTATTTCACGCAGTAGACAGGCTAGAAAGTCATTGCAGTTGCTGATTTTTTTCAACTCCTTACAGAACTTTCTGGGAGTACTGGTAGCATACTGCCTAAGGCACTTGACTGCTAACCAGAAGGCTGGCAGTTCAAATCAACCAGCCACTCCTCAGAAGGAAGGTTGAGCAATCTATTTCTGTAGCGATACCACCTCGGAAACCCAAGGAGGGGTCGCTGTGAGTCGGGTCCGACTCCACGGCACATAACAACAACACAGTACTTTCTGGGTGTCACACTTTAACTGCATAGAAAATCACTACATAATTTTAACCTAAGCTCCCATCACATTCAAATCAAATAAATAGTTATGACATGTTGTTGTTGTTGTTATGTCCCGTCGAATCAGACCCGACTCATAGCAACCCCTTCTTGGGTTTCTGAGACGGTACCACTACGGAAGTAGATTGCCCAACCTTCCTTCCTAGGAGTGGCTGGTGGATTTGAACCATTGGCCTTCTGGTTGAATACCAGTTTTATTCACCCATTCTCTGTCACTGATTATGGTCTGTGTCCAACATGATCCATATTGACACATTAGAGGTCCTATCTGTGGCTTACTTTGGAAATCCAAGCTCTGATCTTGCCTTCATGTGGACCCACTGAGCTAGCTGGTTGTAACTGGTAAAAATCAATTCCTAGATGTCCAAGAAGAGAAACGATTTTCTCTCTTAAGAGCATATATATGTATTGATCAGAAAGAAGGTTGGGCAAACTACTTCCATAGTGATACCACCTTGGAAACTCAAGGAGGGGTCGCTATGAGTTGGGTCCACTCCATGGCAGTGAGTTGAGTTATGTATTGATATACACACATGCTGTTATTCCATATATATACACACACACACACACACATACATTCCATATATATACACACATACATACACTTCCGTAGTGATACTGCCTCGGAAACCCAAGGAGGGTTCGCTATGAGTCTGGTCTGACTCAACACATAACAATACATAACAACAACAAATATATTATTATTGTTATTTTTTTAAAATTGTGATTTGGGTGAAGATTTACAGAGCAAATTCACTTTCCATACAGCAGTTCACATATACTTTGTCTCATGTCATTGACCACAGTTTACCACAATGCAACAGCTCCCCTCCCACATCCTCCCCATAGTTACCACTTCCCAGTGTCCATCCCTCCATACTCTCCTGCCCCCTGAGCTGTTTCCCTGTGCATAAGCAGCCCTTCCTTCTCCCATGATTGTTCTCTCCAGGGTGTGTGTCCACTTGAGATAAATGTTTAACTCATTTTCCTGTACTTTGTTTGGCTGGAAACCACAGGTGTGTGTTCAATTCCAGACCTGAAGGGCAGCTAGGGGCCATAGTCTCAGTGGTTCCACCAGGCTCTATTGGACCAGCAAACCTGGTCCCAACCATCTTTTTTTTTTTTCCCTCCAAATGATTTTGAGTTTTGTTCCACATTGTTTTCCCTCTCTATCAAGGATCTGCTACAGATCCCCTTCCAAGTGGATGACAGTGGTAGCCGGGCACCATCTAGTTCTTCTGGTCTCATAGTTGTATAGGTTGCAGATCAGATGGTGTACCAGTCACGAGGACTGATTGTTTCCATTAACAAATATATTATTATTATTATAATAATTATAATATGTTATGTGCCGTTGAGTTGGACCCGACTCATAGCGAACCCTCCTTGGGTTTCTGAGGCAGTATCACTATGGAAGTAGATTGCCCAACCTTCCTTCCAGGGAATAGCTGGTGGGTTTGAACCACCAGCCTCCTGGTTAGCAGTCAAGTGCCTTAGTCACTAAACTACCAGAGCTCCTATATAATATATATATATATGGACTAACAGTCATTCTATATTCATTGGGCTACTTAGAACATTTCCAAATATAATTCCAGTTTCTAAGAAACAAATTAAATTCAACAAGAACATATTGAACACCTATTAAAAGAAAGAAGGCAGTTTTGGCCCTTAATGTTTTTTTAATTAAAAAAATTTAAAATTATTTTTTTAAATAATTTTGATTTATGGTTTTACCTTTTCTGCTTCCAATATTTAAAACTGTTTTGGATCTATATATTTCCACTTAGGTCAGACCACTTTCCTTTTAGGAGATAAATTATTTTTATGCAAATTGAGGCTAAAAGATTGTCACACATCCTCTAGTCAAGATAACAAACACTGATTCAGAAGTGCACTGGCCTTATAACATACTTTGTACCTCAAATGCAGGAATCCGAGATGACACTAATATGCAATGTAGCTGGAAAGCATTTGAAGAGCAGTCATAATTTTTATAAACTCCATGCCAATTTTTCTTTGATAGTAAAGAGTAGGAATGACTTCCAGAAACATTACTTCTATAGGGGAAAAAAGAAGAACAAGTCAAGTTTAAAATTTCTCTGAATTTTAATTAGGTATAACATTCTCTAGACATCAGTTATACTGTAAAATGCACATGACCTCAGTGCCTCAGTCTCTTGGAAGTATAGCAGAAAGTGGAGCTCCTTGGCCAGGCAGAACCACCCTACCTTCCTAGCCTCTCCTTCTCTGTATACGGGAGATGCTGGGAAGATGTCTTGGAACTTACTATCTTTTGTGGGGCACTTAAAATGTATGTAGTGACATACTTAGTAGTTAAAAAATGACATTTAAAAAAGAAGCAGCTGAGTCCATTTGATGGAGAAAGAAGAATCTTTTCAAGAAATGGTGCTGGGAAAATTGAATTTCTACATGCAGGAAAATGAAACAATCCATACATCACACCATACACCAAAACAAATTCAAAATGGATTAAGGGCTTAAATGTGCAAACTAAAACCATAAAGTTCTTACAAGAAAATGCAGGGGCAATGGTATCATGCTTAGCTTGTAATAATAACAACACAATCACAAAAATCAAAAGATAAATAAATGGGACTTCATAAAAATTTAACTTTTATTTGAAAAGACTTTACCCCCCCCCCAAAAAAAAAAACCCTAAAAGACAAGCTACCAACTGGAAATATCTTTCAATAAAATTCGAACAATTTTGACAACTCAACAACAAAAGACAACTCAGTCACAAAATGGGCAAAGGACTTGGATAAACATTTTACCAAAGAGGACATTCAAATGTCCACCAAACACATGAAAAGATTTTCAGTGACAATAACTGTCAGAGAGATGCAAATCAAAACTACAATGAGATATCATTTCATTCCCGCTAGGATGGCTGGTAAGGAGCTTTGGTAACATAGTGCCTAAGGCATTTGACTGCTACCAAAAGGCTGGCAATTCAAACTCACCAGCTGCTCCACAGAAGGAAGATGGGGCAATCTACTTCCATAAAGATTTACCACCTTGGAAACCCAATAGGGGTCACTATGAGTCAGAATTGATTCAATGGCAGTGAGCTTGGTTTGGCTTGGTTAGGATGGCTAGTGGGATGGTTATCAGAAGGGACCACTCCCTGGAGAAGGATATCATGCTAAGTAAAGTAGAGGGTCAGCAAAAGAGGGGAAGACCCTCATTGGGATGGTTTGACACAGTGGCTATGACAATGGGTTCAAGCATGGCAATGATTGTGAGGGTGGTGCGAGACCAGATAGTTTTTCATTTTGTTGTACATGGGGTCACTATGAGTTGAAAACAACTTGACAGCACCTAACAACATCAGGATGGCTAGATTTTAAATAACAATAATAATAACAAATATTGGTGAGGATGTGGGGAAATTAGAATGCTTATCCATTGCTGGTGGGAATGCAAAATGGTACAGCTATTGTGGAAAACAACAAAAAATTAAAAACAGAACTACCATGTGATCCAGCAATTCCACTCTTGGGTACATATCTAAAAGACTTGAGAACAGAGACTAAGAGACTTGTACACCAATGTTCATTGCAGCACAGTAGCCAAAAGGTGGTGGTGGTGTGTCAGCTCTGACTTATAGTGACCTTATGCATAATAGAATGAAACACTACCCAGTCCTGTGCCAGCTTCACAGTCCTTGCTATACCTGAGCCCATTGTAGGCACTGTGTCAATCCATCTTGTTGAGGGCCTTCCCCTATTTTCCTGACCCTCCACTTTACCAAGCATGATATCCTTCTGCAGGGAATGATCCCTTCTGACAACATGACTAAAGTAGGTGAGACAAAGTCTGGCCATTGTTGCTTCCAAGGAGAATTCTGGCTGCACTTTCAGGACAGATTTGTTCATTCTTCTGGCAGTCCATAGTACTTCCAATATTCTTAGCCAACACCACAATTCAAAAGCATCAACTCTTCTTCAGTCTTTCTTATACATTGCCCAGCTCTCACATGCAAATAAGGCTATTGAAAATACCATGGTTTGGGTTAGGTGCACCTTAGTCTTCAAAAAGACATCTTTGCTCTTTAGCATTTTAAAGAGGTCTTTTGCAACAGATTTGCCCAGTGCAATACATCGTCTGATTTCTTGACTGCGGTTTCTATTGGTGTTGATTGTGGGACCAAGTAATATAAAATCTTTAACAACTTCAATCTTTTCTCCATTTATTGTGATGCTGCTTACTGGTCCAGTTGTGAGGATTTTCATTTTCTTTATATTGAGGTGCAATCCATACAGCAGACTGTAGTCTTTAATCTTCATCAATAAGTGCTTCAAGTCAACCTCACTTTCAGCAAGCAAAGTTGTATCATCTGTATATTGCAAGTTGTTAATGAGTCTTGCTACAATCCTGATGCCACGTTCTTCCTCATATTATCCAGCTTCTTGGATTATTTGCTCAGCATACAGATTGAATAAGTATGGTGAAAGGATACGACCCTGATTCACTGCCTTCCTGATTTTAAACCATGCGTTATCCCCTCATTATGTTCAAATGACAGCCTCCTGGTCTGTGTACAGGTTCCTAATGAGCACAATTAAGTGTTCTGGAATTCCCATTCTTCTCAATGTTATTCATAATGTTATGATCCACACAGTTGAATGCTTTTGCACAGTCAATAAAACACAAGTAAACACCTTTCTGGTATTCTTTGCTTTGAGCCAAGATCCATCTGACATCAGCAATGATATCCCTCATTCCACGTCCTCTTTGGAATCCAGCTTGCATTTCTGGAAGTTCCCTGTCAATATACTACTGCAACCATTTTTTAATTATCTTGAGCAAAATTTTATTTATGTGTGATATTAATGATATTATTCGATGATTTCCACATTCTGTGGGATCACCTTTCTTTCAAATGGGTACAGATATGGATTGTTCTCTTCCAGTCAGTTGGCCAGGTAGCTGTCTTCCAAATTTCTTGGCATACACAAGTAAGTGCCTCCAGCATGGCATCTGTTTGTTGAAACATCTCAATGGGTATCCATCAATTCCTGGAGCCTTGTTTTAAACTAATTCCTTCAGTGCAGCTTCGACCTCTTCCTTCACTGCCATCGGTATATACATACAATGTGTAATACAGATGTGGTATATAAATACAACGAAATACTACTCAGCCAGGACCAGAAAGGATGTCTTCATACATGCTGCAGTGAGCATGGAGCTTGAAGACATTTTGCTTAATGAAAGAAGTTGGTAACAAAATGACAGCTATTGTATGTCCTCATTTACATAAAATCACAAGAAAAGGCAAATGTATAGAGACCAAAGTTTATTAGTGGTTACTAGGGACAGGACAGAGGGGAAAAGGAGAGGGGAATTATAGTGATGGAAAAATTGTGTTGATTAAGGATATGTAAGCTTACATAGGCAATTATTGTAAATGCTGTCAAGATATAGTTGTATAAAAATTTCATTGGCAAAAATTGTGATAGATATAACAATGATGAAAGAGTCACTGCTGACTGCTTATGTACAATCAAACACCTCATGGGATTTTGTTCCTTGGTTTGGAGACTAAGGTTATGGTTTTATGGGACATCTCAGTTAATTGGTCTCATAACATGTTCAGTGCTTCTATCTCCTAATAAGCAAGAGTTAGCTTAGGAGTCTTAAAACCTTGCAAGTGGCCATCCATAGCACAACAATTAGTCTCTATTTGCCTGGAGCACCAGAGGAATAAAGAGAATCAGGAAGAGGAGGAAGAACGGGTGGCTAACTGCCTTCATGGACAACTCTCTCCTTCACCATGAGACCAGAACTGGGTGGTGCCTGGATACAGTTAATGAACATTTTGATCACAGATTCCATAGAAGAATCCTGATCAAAAGGAAGAAAATACAGAACAAAATTTCAAATCTCACAGACTCCAGACTTTCTGAAGCCATAGAGGCTGAACAGTTCCCTTGAAACTGTTGCCCTGAGATAATCATTAAACCTTAAACCAAAAACATCCCCTGAAATCTTCTTCTTAAAACCAAACAGTAATTTAGCTTAACTAGTTTAAAAAATGTCTACCTTAAACATTGTTCTCTTCTAAGGACTATCTATGTGGGATCAAATTAACAACAGCAAATTGAAAGATTAGGTAGGAACCTGTGATAGTTGGAGCTGTGTGTGTCAACTTGGCTGGACCACAATTCTGTGTGGTTTAAGTAATTGTGATGTGGGTTATTTAAATAATGGGATCAGATGTATATGTTTTGAGCAGCCAGTCTGTTGATAGGGAGTTTCCCTAGGGGCATGGCCTGCTTCCAGTATATTTATGGACATCCCGGGAAAAGAGACACTCTTCTGTGGATCGGGATTCTATTGTGCTGCCTACAATTGTCCATGAGCAAACAATCCACCATTCGGCCTGGAGATCTTGGATTTGTCATTCATTGGAGTCAACAGCCAGTATACTGCCTGGCCACCTTGAGCTCCTTATCCCCTGCAGCTGCGTGAGTCAGGAAAAGCCTCCAGCTTGACATTTGATCCAAGAACTTGGGACTTGACAGCTTCTATAAGTGTGTGAGCCATTTTCTTAAGATAAATTTCTCTCTGTCTCTGTCTCTCTCTCTCTATAAGTTTACTGGTTTTGCTTTTCTGGAGAACCCAGTCTAACACAGAACCTAAGGGGGGTAGTGAGTTTATGTTAATGAGAGGAAAAACTGAAAAGCAGGATGAGAATGGTTGCACACCTCAAAGAATATAATCAATGCCACCAAAATGTACATGTGGAAACTGTTGAATTGGCATGTATTTTACTGCGTATATTCTCAACAGCAACCACAAAGTAAATACAATTTAGAGGGAAAAAAGCAGCAGCTGAGAGACTTTATATTTCCTGCATCAATCTTCTGAGTCTCAGGGCATTCTGAGTAATGTCTCCATTCTCTATAACCACACCACCTCCACATCACCATTTGGGTACTCTCACTCCATGAAAAGCATTTGTGGAACAACATTATTTTTCCTCAATAACTTCACTCAGAAAATGTACTAAATCTACAAGGTAGTCTCTCTGCAGGATTAAAAATATTTAAAATATAAGTTTTGAATGCTATGTATTTCCCTCTAAAGAGAGCATGATAAAGACCACTGTTCATGGAAATTAAAGAATCTCTCCTATTGATATTTCTTGGGCTCTGAGTCATACCATTGTACAAGATCCCTGCACGTTAGCTGAATTGTTAAAGAATGAACTCTTGATATTGTGGGATGGTTCGGAGCCTTCAGCAGTAGCTGGAGGTTTGCTTACCGCTTGGGCAAAGCTTCCAAGGACGCCAAAACTAGCTGTTTCTCCAAAGCTTCGTGTAATCCCACTCGATCCCTCACGGTCTGGGAGAGACGTGGTTGGCATTTGGATTTTAACAACCTGGAGCAGCATGTTCCACTCACCCAAGGGGGTCGAGCTTTGAATAACTCCTCTGAAAAACAAACAGCACCAAGCTCAGCTGTTTATTTCATGCTTCTCCCAGCCAAGCCCACAGAGACACAGGCCTCAAAGATAAAGCTGTACCAGGGAAGTATTCCAAATGGCAGTAGTTACAGCCATGTTCACAGTGTCTGTCGGGATTTCTTATCCTCTCAGCACTGTGGCTGAAGGTTGCCAGTCATTTCAGGTCAAGAAACAAAGCTCAAAGAACAAGCAACTCTTTTCTCGCAGAGACTAATTAATCAACATATAGGCTTCACATCCATTTCTACCCATCTTCTTGGCTGTAAGTAATTTCCTATTTGTTCCAATCTCATCAGAGAGTGACTCAGTGAAGAAAAATATGGGTGAGTTCCATTTTTTGTTTGTAGCTTCAGGATACATACTGCAAGTGGGATTGCTGAGTGAAGGATAAATGCACCCTTTTAGATACACCCGAGGTTCCTTTCATGCAAGTTGTGCTGCTCTGCACTCCTATCAGCAATGTATGAAAGTGCCTGTTCTCCATAGTCTCACCAACAGTGTATACTGTCAAGCTTCTGGACAAGTTGGATAAGAAATGGTATTATCGCTCAAGCATTTTTCATTTATTTAAAGGTTATCTCCATAGCTTTCGTGTGCATGTGAACTGTACTGGTGTCTTTTTTTTTTTTTTTTTTTTTGTCTTTTAGTTTGAGTGAAAGTTTAGAGAGCTAATTAGTTCTCCATTCAACAATTTCTACACATTTTGTGTCATGGTATCAGCTGCAATCCCCACAACACAGCAGCTTCCCGCTTCCTCCCTGAGTTCCATTCATCCTTCTTTCCTGCCCCTCCTGCCTTCGGAGCTTTGTTTTGGGGAAAATGCTGTCCTCCCCTTCATTTTCAGTGCTTATTTTCACACATTGTGCGAATCAGGGCTTAGCTGAAAATGTGCCTTGTCCCCATCCCTTCCTACGTCCATTCCCATTTTCCTCTCTTCTTTTTCACCAATCCTTCTCCTGCACCGAACCTATTCATTTGTCTTTGGCTTTGTTCTTACTTCTTTCTCCTCCTTGGTTTTGGTCTTATAAATCCGAGAGGAACCAGGACAACAGATGCACTGATATTTGGCCTTATATATTTCATCTGAAATTGTTTTGGTTTCACTCTCAATTAACTTGAAATATAAAGTGAAGAAACAAAACAGCTTGTCCTGAACATACTTTAAACAGTGCCACCCACATGATATTCCAGAAAGATAGGACTATCGTCCTCTGTGGGAATCTGTATGTAAATCCATTTGTTCCTACAATGCTTGGATAGGATTCAAAATTCTTAAATACCACTCACTTTTGTGTAGTGCAATTTTCTCCCAAATTATTTTTCTGAGACATTTTTCTCTCTGTCTCTCCTGTAGCTCCTCCTGTCCTGCTTTCGGTTCATTTAGGGTTCCATAAACAGCAGTGGCCTCCCTAGGTGTTAGCCAGTCTAGATTGGACACACAAGCAATGTAATGGTGCTTCCACGCACCATACTCATTGTCTGCTGGAGTATAGGGCAGAAACCAGCCAAACTTGATGCATTTGGGCCTCCATAAGCAATCCTTCAGAAAAACAACCACAAGAAAGATGAGTTGCAAACATTTTTTTTTAAAGACAGTTTTCTAGTAATAATGTTTTCATGTGTACAGATAATTTTTTTAGTACATTGAGATACTTGTTGCAGGGGACTAGTAGTACTTAAGGCATTTGACTGCTAACCAGAAGGCTGGCAGTTCAAACCCACTGGCCACTCCTCAGAAGGAAGGTTGAGCAATCTACTTCCGTAGTGATACCGCCTCGGAAACCCAAGAAAGGGTCTCTATGAGTCAGGGGCAACTCTACACAGTGTGTGGTGCTGTTTGTTGTTGAGAAATAAGAAACATACACTACTCTACAGGAAAAATACTCTTGAGGAATATACTACAGTCTCTGATCTTCCCATTCTTCTTCAACACCTAAACTATGCTCTCATAGCATTTGATTATTTTCATTCTAGATTCTGAGAATTCTGCGTCTAGCAGTGGTGCGATCGTATTTCTCTAAACACTCTCCCACTGAGAACAACTTTGACTGAACAATAAGATATTGCTATATGCAGTCTTTTGATGTATAAAAACAGCAAATTTCATATGATTCAATGTAATCAAATATCTAGACAAAATATTACAAAAACAACTATTTAAAGGCATTATAGAGCTACTACAGCAAAAAGGATTTGTGTAACCAAGATCCCAGAGAGAAGGGAAAACCAGCGATAAGCCTGATAGTTTACATCATTTCCCCCTTCAAAGGGAGTTCTGGTGGCACTGTGGTAAGATATTCCGCTGCTAACTGAAAGGTTGGTGGTTTGAAACCACCATCTGCTCCACAGGAGAAAGATGAAGCAGTGTGGTTCTGTAAAGATTTACAGTCTTGTGAATGATTAGGTATGTCTATGCAGGGGTGAGTGTGCCCATGACCATGTATAGATAGGGTTGGCAGACAATGTTTCTATAAGTGTATTTGTATGTTCTCTAAGAGTTTCCAGGTATATAGTAGAGCTGACAAGGGACAAGGTTTTAGTCACTTCTTGGCCGTATCAGCTACCCAGAGGGAGTGAGTAGTTGGGCCTGTGGGCTCGGGACCATCAAGCTCAATTGGCATACATACTACACAAAACCATTGTTCTACATCCTACTTTGGTGAGCAGCACCTGGGATCTTAAAAGATTACAAGCAGCCATCTATATGCAACAATGGGTGTCTCCTTGTCCAGAGCAAAGAATGAAGAAAACCAAACATGCATGGAAACAATTAGTCCAAGCAACTGGTACACCATGTGACCCTCAGCCTATATGACTATGAGACCAGAAGAACTAGATGGTGCCCAGCTACCACTGTAAACCACTTGGAAGGGGATCTATATAGGAGATCCTGGGTAGAGTGGGGGAACAATGTGGAACAAAACTCAACATCATTATAAAAAAAAAGGGACCAGGTTTGGTGGTCTGATAGAGCCTGGTGGAACCCCTTAGACTAGGACCCCTAGCTGCACTTCAGGTCTGGAATAGAACCCACTCCTGTGGTTTCCAGCCAAACAAAAGACAGGCATATGAGCTGAACATTTACATTAGGTAGAGGCACTCTTGGAGACATCAATCATGGGAGAATAGAAGGGCTGTGTATGCACAGGGAGACAACTGGGGGGGGCGGCAAGAGTGCATGGAAGGGAAGGACACAGGGAAGAGGTAACTGGGGAGGAAGTGGGAAGAGAGCTGTTGCATTGTGAGAAATAGCATTCAATGTCATGAGACAAAGCTGTGAACTGTTGTATGGAAAATGAATTTTCTCTGTAAACTTTCACCCAAATCATAATAAAAATAAAATAAAAAGATTTACAGCCTTGGAAATTGCTATGAGTTGGACTCGACTTAATGGCAGTGGTTTGGTTTGGTTTGATTCCCCTTCAAGGCATTTGCCAGTTCTAAAATAAAGCTGCATAGGCTGAGAAGCAGAGCAGAAAGTTGTAGCTGAAAGACTAATATACACTCCTTATTTACAAAGCAAGTTAGTCTATTTAATGCATCATCATATTTTTCTCTTAAAAGTAAGTTAATTATCATTCAGGTACCCTCAGCAATCATCTTCAGGGAAGAGTTACCCCACTTGTCTTATTATAGATTACAGTTTTATTTGTGTTCTAAGACTATGTAGTGACAAATAGTAAACCTGTTCAGTTAAAAACTTCCAGGGCCAGCTGACTTGTGCAGCTGCACACAAATCTTTTGGATTCAGAAAGGAAAAAATATAGAGAGAAATGAAGCGTGGTAACACTGTAGAGAAATCCACTTTGCCCACTTGAATTCCTTGTGAAAACCAGTCTTGGATAAACCTAAAAAGAAAGATAAAGAAATTTAATTCAGAACATTAATATCAACTGACTGAAAATCCAATATAATATTGATCATTGTTCTTTCTCTAATGTTCTACCTGTAAAGATAATTAAATCCTAAATAACATAAAGCTCTGCCTAAGGCATCTGACAGGAGCTCTGGTGGCACAGTGCCTAAGGTACTTGACTGCTAACCAGAAGGCTGGCAGTTCAAACCCACCAGCCACTCCTCAGAAGGAAGACTGAACAATCTACTTCCATAGAGATACTGCCTCAGAAACTCAAGGAGGGGTCACTGGGAGTCGAATCAACTTGACAGCAGGGAATTTGGTTTTTGTTTGTTTTATAAAGTACTCTATTCACTTTCAGTTATCTATCCATTCTTAAGAAGATGAGTGACACAAACATCTGATACCCACCAAAATTCACCTACTTGTTTAAGTCATAATCCTGTCTTTTCTTTCTTTCTTTCTTTCTTCTCCCTTACCTCCTGTGGTGGTTAAGTTTGTGTGTCAACTTGGCTAGGGCTGGTTGAGTGGCTGGGCAGCTGGATGTAGTATTGCTCATGATGAGACTGGTAATCAACTCCATGGTGGAATCTACTGTGAACAGCTGAGTTGTTGCCTTTGGGTATGTGGTCTGCTTCCCATACATAAGAAACAGCTTTGGGAATGGTCTCTAGTTCATGGCACCCTTGAACCCTGCATGTAGCCATATCGTTGTTCAGCAGCCTCCCATGTTCTGCCAACCTTGGGACTTTCAATGGACCTGAATTAATGGCCTGCTGTGTGCTTTGGTAACATCGGGACTGTGCATTTTCACTTGTCAACCTTGGGCTTGTCAGTCCCAGTGGCCAGCAGCTGTCTCAGTGAAGAGATGCCTCTAGCTCCAGTCGACCAGGAGCAGGAGGCAGAGCTGAAACCCGAGGTTGAGGGGCTTTCACCCAGCCCCTAGAACCTGGCACTTTGAACTCAGACTTCTACCCTCTCATACTGTAAGAAAATAAGCTCCTGTTTGTTAAAGCCATCCTCTTTGTGGTATATTCTTGTCAGAGTGGCACTACGTAACCAGAACACCTCTTAATCCAGTAAAACAGCAAATCTTCTCAGCTCAACCTACCAAAAACATCCCTAAATTGAATGACTTCTCTCATTCTCCTGTGCTATCACTCTGGGCCAAGGCATCTCCATCTCTCTCCTACATTATTAGAACAGCCTACTTGCCTCCCTGCTTCCACTCTAGTTTTCCTACCATCTATCGCTGGATGGTAAATATGATCTGCATTTGACTGGATAGCTGAAAAGTGGGCAGTCAAACCCACCCAATAGCACCACAGAAGACAAGCCTAGTGATCTACTTCCACGAAGACTACAGCCAACAAAACTCCATGCAGCAATTCTGCTCTGTAGCACATGGGGTCGCCATGAGTCAGAATGTGTATGACAGCACAGGACAACAACATCATTCTACATGCAGTAACCCAAGTGGTCTTTTAACAGTATAAATTAGATAATACCACTCATGTGTTTAACTCCCTTCAATGACTTCCCAATGCAATCAGAATAAAAACCTAGACGCAACACCATACATAACAGTAAAATGCTAAATGTCTTTCCCCAAATAACAGAGAAAAGATAACATCAATTTAACCTGTAGTGGAGGTCCTAGGGAGTTCAAGGCAAGAAAAAGAAATAAATGTATACATATTGGAAAGGAAGAAGTAAAACTGTCTCAATTCATATAATACGTATATAGAACCTCTAAAACAACTATTAGACACAACTGAGGAATCTACAGAACTACTCAAATTGTTGAATTTCTTCATATGATTGATGTTTCCTTTGTTATCTTTTTAATATCTGCAGGATTTGTAGCAATATCTTCATTTTCATTCCTGATACTGAAACTTTGTTTTTTCTCTCTAATTAGTCATGCTAAGAGTTTATGAATTTTATTAATATTTTCAAAATATCTGATTTTGGGTTCATTAATTTTATCTAGCATTTGCCCACTTTCTATTTTATTGATGCCCACTCTTATTTTTATCATTCATTTCCTTCTACTTACTTTGGGTATAATTTGCTGTTTTCCTCCTATTTATTTAAGGCAGAGATTTAGATTATTAATTTTTAACCTTTCTTTTTTCTTTTCTAATGTAAGCATGTAAAACTATAAATTTCCCTCTAAGTGTTGCTTTAGCTGCACTTGTTTTTGGTATATTGTATCTTCATTATCATTCAGTTTGAAATATTTTCTAGTTTCCCTTGTGATTTTTTTTTCTTTTTTTGTCAGAAGTGAGTTAATTTCCAGATATTTGGGAATTTTCTAGATATTTTAAAAATTACCAGTGTTATTCCATTGTGATTAAAGAATATAGTTAAGAAGATTTCAATATTTTTAAATGTGTTGAATCTTACTTTGTGAATAAGGAAATGATCTATCTTGATGAGCCCATCTATGTACTTTATATTTAAGGTATGTTCCTTGTAGTTAGTATATAGTTTCATCTTGTTTATTTAGCTCATCTGACAATCATTGCAATGGGTCCTCTCTGATCAAAATTCCCATAAAGTGGATTAAGCCCCAGAAAATTTCAATGTAAATAAAAATATTACTTCCAATTAGGGACAAATATGGCACTTAAGGACTTTAGTACTCACCTTCATGGACAGGTTGCCTAGCACTCATTAGATCCAGACATAGTCTTGACTACTACTTTACCCAAACTCAATTAGATTCTTGCCCACCAGTTTCAAAATCTCAAAGTAGCAGAATTCACTGGTAAAACATCCCACCTCCAAAAGAGGCAAATCCAATTCATCATTATGGTGAAAACTTGCTGATAACTTACAGCATTAGATATTCTGTGCAGTGGACTTGACTTCAAGTGATCTCCCTGGCCCTATAATACAGTCTTGAGACTTGCTTAAACAGGCCAATTGGTAAACCCCTAACTATACTGACAGGTCACCCAGGCTACCCAGAATTAGAATACTGAGCTGTCTTCTTATGAATCAAATACAATAATTTAATCATGAGCTCAATATTTATGTTTAGTGTATATGCTCATATAAAGTGATCAAATCTAAAAGCACCTGTATTTAAAAAGTCAATGAAGGCAAGCAAAAGAGAAAGAAGAAAACCAAAGACACAAGGAAGAAACTAGTCCACAGAACAAGTAGTCTACATGAATCACAGCCTCATCTACTCTGAAACCAGAAGAATTAGGTAGTGCTCAGCTACAACTACTGACCATTCTAATCAGGGCTACCATAGATGGACCCTGTTAGAATTGGAGGAAAATGTGGAACAGAACCTCAAATTCCTACAAATGAAGAAAAGAAAGGTAAAAAACAGACCTTCTGGACTGGTTGATATTGGAGGATGCCACAGGACTATTGCCCTGAGATACTCTTCAAATCTTGAACTGAAACTAACCCCTAAGGTTACCTTGTAGCGAAATAACAGATTGGCTAAAAGAATAATGAATATCATCTGTAAATATTGTGTTCTTTTAAAAAAAAAATCACCTATGTGAGACAAACTGTCAACAATTACTTCAAAACAAGATGAGAATGTAAGGGGACTGGGAAACTAGATTACTGGAAACAGAACAACCATAACAGAAATTATGAGAATGTTCACACATTGTAAAGAAAGTAACTAATGTCACTGAACAACTTGTGTAGAAATTGTTGAATGAGAACCTAAACTACTGTGTAAACCTTTACCTACAACACAATAAAACTTTATTTAAAAAAAAAAAAAGCAATGAAAGACATGCAGGTAACATCTCTGTTATAGCCTACTGGACTTAGGCTCAAAAGAATTACAATAGTAAAACCACCATAAGGGATTAGAATACTGGACAAAAAATCTTTCTAAATGATAAAGAAGTCACTGTTTCCTGTAAGATCTTATAATTTGCCTATTATGCCACACTTTTGATAAAGACCTCTATAGGCTGACCCTTCCAACTATCTCCAAGCCTATTGCCGTCAAATAGATTCTGACTCTTAGCCATCGTATAGGATATAGTAGAACTCTCTCATAGGGTTTCCAAAGTTGTAGCTTTTATGGAAGCAGACTGCCATATCTTTCTCGCATGGAGTGGCTGATGGATTGGAACAGTCAATCTCTTGGCTCCTTTCAAGTATCATCAGTTAATATAAATTGCATATAGCTGAGCCTCTCTTTCCTTTGCTGAGCTAGTTTGGCATCCAAGAATCAGTGGGTGGGGAAGATGAGAGTCTGAGAAATAATAGTCTATTCCTTCCTTTCTTCCTGAGCAAAGGAGCTCTGGGGGCACAGTAGTGAAAGCACTGTGCTGCTAACCAAAATGTTGGCAGTTTGAACCCACCAGCTGCTCTGTGAGAGAAAGATAAGGCAGTCTGATCCTTAAAGATTTACAGCCTTGGAAATCCTGTGGTGCAGTTCTACACTGTTATGGAGAGTCACTATAAGTTGGAATTGACTTGATGGCAGTGGGTTTTTGGTTGGTTTCTTGAGTGTCACTCATATGAAAAGGAACAGTGCATTCCTCCGTTTTCGTTTTCATGCCTGGTTTAATCTCAACAGATGGTTGAAGTTCACATTGTTCTAAGTGAAGACACCTGGGTTTGAATTTGGACACTGACTTTGCTTTGGGTAGTCCTACGGCTACTCACCTCTCTCCTCAGAGGTCACTCATGATGACAAAATGGTAGCTCATACATTCCTCTGAAACTCATCATTCTAGAAAAAGGACAGTCTGGCTCATGCTGTAGGAGGCATGACAGATTTTGATTGATAGGCTGTTGGGTTGAAGGAGGGAAGAGAACTTTCTTATTTTAGTGTAATGTGGGCAAATAGCTCTTGACAGTCTTCCATCATGACTTTCTCACAGTGTTAGATATGCCACTCCCCTCTTGGCCCAGCTCCACAAGATTTTATTGAAACCCTACTTGAACTGGGAGGGGGGACATGGAACTCTCTATAATCTGGTGTCACCTAAAGATAAT